TATGCTGAAAGGCAGTGTAAGCAAGATCGAGTCTACCCGCTAACTGGGCATCAAGATGGTTAAGGACGGTAGATAATGACCAACTCAACTTTCTTACATGTTAAGCTGAATGATGGAGAACTATCAGTCACAGCGGATTGACAGGACTTCCACGGCTGCGATCTTGTTTCTCTGGACTTTCGATCCATATGTACACTTATCGTATTGAACATCAAGTGACTTAATTAACCACACCTATCTAAACCATCTATTCTGTGAGACTGGGATTATATGTAACCATCAGACCACACTGTTAATACATTGGAAGGTGTAATCATCAGCTTCTCGGCTGTGAAGCATCAGTGACAACGACCTGTCAACTTTTGCTTAATTGACCAACATATTTGACATGCAGGACCAGTGCTCCTAATTACCGTAATGTAATGTAATGTGACTGATTTACGCACAGGGATGCCTGCAATTCTGGCTGTCTCATCAGCTGCTGCAAGCCGGAGAGTCGTCCTAGGCTAGGGAAGTGTTTGTAAGTACAATCTTCTGTCACGTTAACTGCTCCGTACGTACTTTAGTATACATCCCCGGCCTCCACCCATAGTGATGGGCGGGTGAAAATCATCCGCGTGACGAGCATAGCATACTTGTCCACCCACGGGTATCTTTGTACTGTACTTCGTTCAAGAGCTACCTAGTAGTTACGACACTACTACGTATGGAGTAGGCTAGACCTGTTCATGTTAAAGGAAGGGATAGTAAGCACAAAGGTGGTTGCATCTGATTTAGAAACACTCAATCTGCGACCAAGAGGAGTATTTCGCTGCGTGGGTTCTTCGGTTATCAGCGCTTTCATACGCTGTAGTTATTTACGCGCTCCAAAATTAGATACCTGCAGCAAAGCAGAGTGAAGAGAACCCCGAAGAGAAAACAGAATCCCCGTGTGGAGTTGGCTGCAGGCACGAGGGGACGAATGTGATCGGTCGCTTGTCGGGGGTAAATTAAAGGCTGAAGCCAGAAAGTATCGTCCAATCCCACTTGAAACCGCCTCGGTCGACCATGCCATCCGGGGTTTGCAGCAAACAGCCAGATTTTAGCATGACGTATCCGAAAGCAGTGACTAAAATTGATCGACGTCAATTTACTCACACCAGAGAGAGAGAGAGAGGGCTTAATGCCAGACCGCGGACCGCAGACCGCCGCACTGTAAGTTATAGTTAGATCGAGTCCAGGAAAGTCAAGTTCCGAGCCACTTACTCACAATAAAGCTTTCCAAGAGATGGACTGCCCCTTTCAGGAATTGTGTTGGTAGAGAGCGAAGAATGAAAACTGAACGCCATTGCTATGCATTGGCACGCTTGACAGACCGACGGTGTCTCCTACGGACTTGAATAGACGTAGACTGGGGGAATCCTGGAAGACGAGACTATCGAGGTTTCCTCGGCGAAGATCAGCGGGAGATCCACCAGCACGACACTGATTTGCTCTTGCCCACTGCCTCTCCAGATCGATCAGTAGCGGTCCGAGTATGAGTAATTTGGATAGATCTCCACCAGAAGAATAATGTAGCGGAGCTGATTCCGGTAGGCGCAAGTGGAGAAGAATAGTCCAGTCTGTAGTCTGGTTCGTAGTTGTGGCTTCGGGGCTGAAGGGCTCTAGTCCGGCGCACCATTACCTTTTCGTCGCCTGGCAGGCACAGACAGTAAGGTACGGAGTACTGGTCAGTCAGCGGAATCGATAGTCTAGTGTGAACCACATAACCTACCTTCTCCTTTGCCCCTCCCCCCCTCCCCACTCCCCAAATTATCCCCTTCTCCCCCCCGGAGTGGATTAGAAGGTTGGCCTGGCCGATGCTTTCCTCCGGGGCGTTTGCCCTTCAGGTGTTAGCCAAAGTCACTTGCAATCGTCCTTTCATCCGAGTCAGTTCCAAATGGGCCGAAAATCGGCATAAACTCTCTTTCGAAGCCGATCGAACCCTAACAGGGTTTCAACGGCCAGAGTCTGTTTGGATTGTGGTTCCCAAGGAGCGCCATCAATTCCTTGGTTCTGCTCATCTCTGTGCTAAATAGATTAAATTGATTAATCTCGAGGAATAGTGATGAGAAGAAGAAGAAGAAGAAGAAGAAGAAGAAGAAGATGATGATGATGATGATGATGATGATGATGAAAATAGCCACAGGATGATGCTTTTTTCACTGCATGTTCAGTACATAGAAAGACTACGCACGCTAGCCGAGTCCATCGACATGACATACATGCATGCGTGATTTGACCCTAGCTGAGACCTAGCTATAGCAGGATTTTATTCTCTCACATCAGGCAATAGGCAAATGAAAGCCTGGAGAGCCTGTCAACGTACCCGTGACTTCATTCGCTTCAATGAATTATTACCTACACTGCACTAAGGAAAGCTGCCCTATAGCCTCCATGATTTTTGTTTCGACCGACCTTCTCGAGCTTGCCCCGAATTGGAAAGAACAGGGTTGCTGTTTTTGTCAAGCAACCAGAGTTCTAGACTTCCACAGGAAATCTGGGTAGGTCGTCGTGGATCCCATCACCAGCGTGCTTTTGTACTGTACTGTACATGGTGCTGTGCAGAATAAGGTAGCATAGTACAGGACCTACACGTATACTATCAGAATTCATGGTAATTATCCACATAACTAGTCAATTAGAGGTTATGGAATAACATGGGTCAGATTGCAGTGTCAATCTCCGTATTCTCGAGTTTCACCCTTCACTCGGGAATCGGAGATCAGACCGTCAAACTCGTGCTTCCACCAGAGTCAAGGTCCCTATTGTCGTGTCTAACGTGCATGGCATTAAGAGTAAGCTCATGATATCCTCCCATCTGTCGTCCCCACCCACGCTCCCCCAAGGCGCATCTCAGACTAGTGAAGATCTCCAATCGGTCCTCGGTGCAGTGTCTACACTCTACAGGCGGTCGGAGAGACAGAAATGCCTCTTCGCATTTCTCATATACCTGCCTTATCCCAATCGGGCAGTTCGACAGATGCGCCAAGGTCTCGCAGTGCTTTAGTTCTCCTGATGCTTGGGGAGGGATGGATCCTTCCCTATTTCTTAGGGTCGGAGGGACAAGATCCAAGGCCCCGACTCCGCTAAGCGGCCTAGAGGGATCGCCCTTGATGGCGAACAAAGTGCCTGCTAGTGCCATGGTCTGGTTCACATTGAATGTGCACACGCGATTGTTTCATGGCTCACTCAATCCCTGTTAACTGGACAGCTACCCTTGCCCTACTTCCTCAATCTTGTTTTCTACCTATTCTTATCTCATCGAGATCGATCTCTGACCTGGGATTAAATCTCTCATAGTGCTTGTCGAGGATTAATCTCTCACTCGATCTGGATTTTTGTAACCAAGTAACCAATAAACTATCAGGAGGATAAAAATTCTTGTATGCGCTAGATAAATCAAGCCAACAGGGGAGAAAAGGTGAGCATGACTATGGAGAGGTGACAGAGAGATCCGCCAGTTTGACGTGGAACAATGGTGGTGCTATTCCACTAAGTGCCGAATGAAGTGACAACTCAAAGGCTGCTGGATTTATTCATCCGTCCCATTGGTTTGTACGGAGTAGAGGGGGAGGCAACGGGTACTCAAATGACACATTTCAAGGACTATCATGCAAACTATGAAGCAGACCAACAGGCACAGAGATCAGGTGTGCGAGAGAGATGCGATAAGCGCATCGGGTGATTTGTCGATTCAACAATCTCACTACTGCATAATCAGAGGACAGCCGACCTGGCAGAAATGCAACTACTGTACTTTTTCCTATCCTTATATTGTACGGTACACAGAACGAATGGCATGTAGCAGTAAGTCATCCACTGCGATAAGCAGGCAGCGATTGTTGCCCCATGTCTTTTCGCTGTCTCTTGGTCCTAAATCGGCCCCGACATCTTCTTCAATTCAGCATCGTCCTCGTCCTCAGCTTCGGCTGTTGCTCGTACAGTCCGTTACCGGGGGGGGGGAGTCAGTCAGAACCGGGGATCGACCCAGAAAGCTTACTTGCAGGGCCCAATGCTCCTGCGCATTGAGGGAATGACAGGACCCGAGACAATGGACGTACCATCCGTGAATCTCCAGGACCATCACCGCCATCCCTCGAACAATCTTTTTTTTGGGAAAAAAAGAAAAAGAAAAAGAAAAAGGGAAATGAAAGAAAAAGAAAAAAAGGCAAAAGTAAAAAAACAGGGGGTAAAAAAAAACCTTTTAGAAGAAAGAAGTCCGGCCGAGAGGGAGATCTCCACCCGCCTTGGCTCCCAATCACCATCTGAGGTTTGATGCCCGTTCCTTGGGCAGCGTCGATCTCCCATGCGTTCGTTTGTCCAGATGGGCACGAGCTTTCCTCCGCCAGCTCCAATTCCCTTCCATTCCTCCCCGGTCCCTTTGCCATCCTTCCGCCACCATATCGCCTTGGACTCCATACTAGGGCCTTCTTCCACTTTGCTCTTGTTGCTCTGTTCTGTTCTTCATCATGTGGGCTTTCAGTCAATCCTTCCCTACTCCACCATGGCATCTTTTTCTCCACCGTGGACTCCACCTCGTCCCCTCCCCCGTTTACTTTTAGACTTTTAGTACCTTTCCTGACTTCAGAATTTTGATACACCTGTGGTTCACGGTCTCTTCCATCTTAGGACCTTTGCTCCGTACCTTAAACCATGCTCTGGTACGACTGTCTCCAACCACTAAGCCTATCTAGCAAATCAGTTACCTCCGTCCTAACCATCCCACCCACTTGCCCCCCCCCTCCTCTGAATACTAGGTAGTTAGTCTTATATTCATGTACTTATAACTATCAGACCACTGCCCTGTCCAAATCCACTCTGTTCCTGCATCCGCTCCTGGCATTCGTTCTTTCTCCGCTATACCGAGACCTGACACTTTCTTTTCACTAATCCCATCTCATCGATCTCTCGTTGGCTGCTGCTCAAGTTCCTTGACTTACTCGACCTTCCTTCAGGTGTGTCTCGCTTCACACAAACTTCCACTTATCGGGCTGTTCCCATAGCCCGTTTCAAGAGAAGAGCTTCGCCTTTTCTTGAACTTGGCTCAGTTTTCCCAATCAACCTCCAGAAGAGTGCCTCGCCAGAAGAGCAGAAATGAAGAACTCGATTCCATCTGATGTGTGGGAGAGGAAGAAGGCCCTTATCGCTCAGCTGTACAAGGATGAGGAGTGGCCGTTAAAGCAGGTGATTAAGAAGATCCGTTCCGACGACTTCAATCCAAGGTGAGCTTTGTTCTTTACAATACCCATGAAATAACATTAATATCGTCATTCATTTTCAGTGAAACCCAGTTGCGGAGCAGATTAAAGAAATGGCGGGTCACCAAGCCTTCCCGCCAAACCCGCAAGAAGTCGAACGATAGTCAACAGGAGGGGTCCGGCGATGACAGTGGCCGTGAGGGCGGCTCTCCCAAGCATCAAGCTGCCATTTTCTCTCCCAAGTCTCATGCGACTGCAACGGATCTTTCTGTGTCCGAATCAGATTGGTTCATGAATGGGTCTTTTGCACCACCAGGAGAGCTGCCGGTCACAGTTCCCCTCGATCACGCCTGGGCCCCTGTACTGGCGCAACGATCACCATTGAACCAGCCTAACAAGCACAGGGATCCTTCTCATGCTTCGACGACTTCGCCCTTGCTCGAAGATGTGATGGTCAATCCGACTGCGAGTTTGGCACCCACCTTCCAGGAACATGCTTATGGCTTCACCACCGAGTCTTGCATGCAAACACCCGTGTCATCCTCGGCCCCAGCTGCTCCAATTCAATGGTCAATCCCTCAATGGTATTCGATGCCTATGGCGCCTGGCGCCCAATCCCCCCCGATGCCTTTCTATAGCTCAGCACCGTTGAGTCCTCCGATCGACCCTGCTATGCACCTGATGTCTCCTCCCGGGCCACAGCGGGTATTTACACCACAAACGCCACCGACAGCCAATATCTCAAGACAGCAGTTGTCTGACTTACACGACGATGGCGCGCAATTATGGAAGCGTACCATGTCTGCTCCTTATGTCCAGGATACCGCTGGCGGTCATCCGAGACTGGAACAGAAGGGCATGCAGTCGACAGCATTGGATAGAAAGGCATCACTCCCTTCCAAGACCACAAGTCAGCATAACATGGGCTTAATGACCCCTCCGCCCTCGTTCTTCCCTCACGGGCAGCATTCTGCGATGTGTGCACCTATCTATACCTATCCGGGGACTGAGACTCTTGTTCATCGACCACCCAGTATCGACTTCTAAGATATTTGGGCTGTGGTCAAGGTCTCATCTCATTCGAGTTCCGAATGACTTTTGGTGATCTTTCCTATTCCGTGCGGCTTCGCGCATTGGAGTCGCACGTTGTGTCTTCATGGTTACGTTACTCTCTTCTGTTCTGCTGCCCTGTTTTTCTGCCTTGCTTTCTTATTCTGTATTCATTTCGCTTTTCCTCCTTTGTCTATGTGGTATAGATGAGGGATTGGGCAGTTGAATCGGTATCACGTCTACAAGGGAATCCGATACCTGGCGTATCGGCTGGTAGTACCGATGCATGGGGTGAGGTGTACTGGTTCAAATGATATCCACTACGGGTCAAAGGAGTTCGGGGGCGCACGTATCGAGGGGTTTCTCGACAATGGGACTCTGGGATGGAAGTCTCTTATTTCGCATTAAATGGGTCATATGTACTAGGCCTGCTGGTGTACCTTTTTTTTGGGGGGAGGAGGGGGGAGATCTGCAGCCTCGACGGCCAGACAAACGCCACTATGAATGTTTCATTATGTGATGTATGTATGTACTGTACGCAATCTACTTAGTTCTTAATCTAGCGAGCTCAAACTTCCGAGAACTCCAGCTCTATATAATCTTCTTTCCCCTAGAATGTTGCCCTGTAAAACCAATCGGCAATTTGTCCTCGAAAATTCTCGCCAAGATGCTGGTACGGTATGGAATAGTGCAAGATGCCGCCGAGCAGGCCTGTGCTGGAACAATATCCGAAGACGGACCTCGGCACATCCAGCCCAGCGATAGTGGGGAGAGCCCGAGCTGAGCTGTCTCTCACCTTCCTCCTCCTTCTTCCGCGCCCTTCTCCCGTCTGCAACTCACCTTGCCTGGACTCAAGTTTCCATTTGCCAACAGAAGAGTATAGCATACAAATTAGCGTTATTTTGGCGATTGAGATTGCTTCCAGGTCCCGGTTGCTGGTTATTACCGAACACACCTCTGTCACCCAAATAGTACTAGTGACGCATCAAGAATTTAGCCATTCGACTACCATCATGAGAGCCATTCAGGTCACCGAATATGTGAAGGTATATGAGCCCAGTCTCTCATCAAGCGCTCGTATAACTTTACTGACTGCCAACAACCAAGGGACCTCTGGAACTCGGAGTTGTTACACTTCCTACCCCTTCCCCGTCTCCGACAGACTACCTGATTGAGATACACTCGGCGGGTACCAACTTCTTCGACATCCTACAAATTCAAGGCAAATACCAACATCAGCCTCCCCTACCCTGGGTCGGAGGTTCAGAGTTTGCGGGTACAGTGCTGGCCGTGCCCACCTCTCCTACAACGCTGCCACGGTTCGCTGTTGGCGATCGAGTCTTCGGCGCAACGCAGGGTGCCTACGCCACTCACGTCCTCGCTCCCGAACCATCCTTGCTACCTATCCCTAGCGGTTGGACTTTTGAGGATGCTGCTGGCCTCTTTGTCACGGCCCCGACATCCTACGGGGCCCTCGTTCACCGGGCAAACGTCCAGGCTGGTGAGTGGGTGCTGGTGCATGCGGCCGCCGGCGGCGTTGGTCTGGCCGCCGTGCAGATCGCCAAAGCCAAGGGGGCGACGGTGATTGCGACAGCCAGCACCGAGCGGAAGCGGCAGATCGCGCGACAGTTCGGCGCGGACCACGTCGTCGATTACCGCGACAAGAGCTGGCCGGACCACGTCAAAAAACTGTGCGCGCAACACCGTACGGGAAACGGCAAGGTGGGCGTCGACATTGTCTATGACCCTGTAGGACTGATTGAGGCCAGCCTCAAGTGTGTCGCGTGGAACGCGCGCTTGCTGGTGATCGGATTCGCGGCGGGCAAGATCGAGAGGGTCGCGTTGAACCGGGTGCTGCTCAAGAATGTCAGTTTGGTCGGATTGCACTGGGGCCAGTACGCCCAGTTCGAGAAGGAGACGGTTCAGTCCGTTTGGGCCGGCATCTTCGACCTCGTCGCGCAAAGGAAGTTCAGCGGCACTGCCTTCAAGGACGAGACCTTCGTGGGCCTAGAGAGTGTTCCCCGCGCATTGCAGGCGCTGGGTGGAAGAGAAACCTGGGGAAAGGTGGTGGTGAAGGTCATTGATGATGAGGCCGAAGCGGGCAAGAGTAAGCTCTGAGTGCAGACCACCAGCCGAAGTCCAGTCGTCTCTACCGTACATTACAACTTAACCAGAGGTGAGTAGGAGGTATATCTTGGGAGCAATATGAGAAAGGCTATGTAAATTCTTGATAATAACTATCTGAAGACGGCTGTGTGGTAATGTAGGTGCGCAAGGAGTCATGCTCTCGTAGGAAATGTAACACGCAAGCAACATGAACTATGAAGGCCCTGGGGTCTTTCTCTAGCAACAATTCATCTGATATTTCAGATGAGGGAGCAAGAGTCCCAGCAATCCAGCTCCAGTCGGCCACAGCCACAGGACGTGACATGCGATGACTGTTCTTCAAGAGAGTCCGTAGGAGATGCTCAAACGCTCTGTTTCAGCCCGGAGGCGTGAAATACAACGATCGATGCGAGACAGCTGGATTGCAAAGTTGCAGATATAGTACAAGTTAGAATTCCCCTTGCTCAATCGGCGACCGAACACCATCAGGCGTTCAGTTTCGAAGCTGGGGGTTTGTGGCGCCGCACGTTGCGACAACGATGAGCCGAACTTGTCTTCAAACTGCACATTAACAGTCTTTTTGAGATAGTCAGTAAGCAGATATTATGGTTTGATGTAGTATAGACGTATGGCATGTCGCATGACACCACCAATGGTCGAATGGTGGAATGGCGGAGAGGGCATGAAGGCGAGAAGACGCGATGCTCGGGCGAGTGATTGGGTCTTTATTTTTGTTGTTGGTTGGTTTGAAGGGAGGGCTCGCTTAAAGAGGTGAGTCAGCAGGCGACCGGGCCGTCTATCCGATTAGAGATAAGGTATGGGAAGCATCCTGACATCAGCAATCATCATTTCCCCTCTGAACCAAGATTTGATCACAGTCCCGGTTCCACCGATGTGGAAAGCACGGGAAATAAATAGGCAAGTAAAGGGGTTAACCACCTTTAGTACCCGTACTATGTACTAAGCAAGCCCCCTTGGAGGCAGGGTGATACCTGATTGCTACTATTAGGCTCAAAGATCAACCTGGCGTCTAAACCAAGGTACCTTAGTCAGTACTATGTAATTTCCTATGCACCTGTCCAAATGCTTAATTCTACACAACTAGCAGGGTCTTCCTAATATGGTTCATACATGGATGATCCCTTCCATGATTCTCGACAAGCATTTCTTAGTACAGGCGATTATCCACTAATAAATGTGGAATAGGGCTGTAGTCATGTTGACTTTACTGTGAATCAATTCTCGCCCGAGAGACATTAACTACGTCATTATCATCATCATGGTGATAGCAAATGTTTCGCACCCTCCACTCCTCACCAAAAAGAGAAAAAAAAAAACACCCCGGTGTGCAAATGTAATGTAGCCATGTCGGCCTGTTCTGTACAGACATACATACATACAAGCTTGAGTATTATTAGCGCTCGGCTAGCCGGTTTCTAACGGTCAGGCTCGGCGTCTTGCATCATATGCCCAGCTATATTAAGCTTCCCTTATCACCCAGGGTCAACCACAATCGTAATTACTCCTAAGCTGATCTCCAACTCTTGAGTCCCCCTCAATGGCCAGGAGACCTTCGATCTTAAAACCCTCACGACTGTCATTTCCCCTGTCACCACAGTGTCGCCGTCTATTCTCCCAGCATACACTTAAGATGTCTGCATCAAACAAGCATTCCAAGTTCAACCATCTGCCCCGCGCTGCCGAGGGCCCCTTAGTGTGTCCTCATGAGGTATTGCACGCTCTTGGCTTATAATAACATCGCGCACTACGCATCTAGCAAGTTGAGGATGCTGACTCTGCTGGGTAGGGTAGAGACCTCCTAGAGTCCTGTCAGTTCAACAAAGGATCTTCCTTCCCGGAGGACGAACGTCGGGCATTCAAACTACTAGGCCTGCTCCCCCCCAACGTTCAGACGTTAGAGGAGCAGGTCCAGCGAGCCTATGAGCAATACAGCAGCCGGGAAAGTGATATCGCGAAGAACACCTTCATGGCTAGTATGAAGCAGCAGAATGAGGTTCTGTACTACAAGGTAGGGTCCCAAAAATTCAATCCCATCCTCGTGTATCGATATATCTCAATCCACGTGAGCAACATCATTGGCTAATGCTCAAAAAGTTATTGGAGACTCATCTCAAAGAAATGCTTAGTATCATATACACGCCAACTGAAGGCGACGCGATACAGAACTATTCGCGTCTGTTCAGGAAGCCCGAAGGGTGCTTCCTGAATATCAAAGAGCAGGAGAAGATCGAGGAGTGTCTTTCCAATTTTGAAGGCAGTGAGGAGATTGACTATATCGTCGTCAGTGACGGGGAGGAGGTAAGTAGATAGACAGCAGCTAAAGGTGGCCAGAACACGCAACTGACATCTATTTCAGATTCTGGGCATTGGAGACCAAGGTGTAGGTGCCATTTTGATCTCAGTCGCCAAGTTGGCATTGACAACTATCTGTGCGGGAATCCACCCTTCGCGGCAGCTTCCAGTCGTCTTAGACTGCGGGACCGATGTAAGTCGATTCCATTATCGCCCAACAATATACTTATGTCGGCGCCAGAATGAATCCTTGCTCAAGGACGATCTATACCTGGGACTTCGACAGCCGCGCGTCAGGGGAGAAGAGTATGACCGGTTTGTGGAAAATTTCGTGACAGTCGCAAAGAAGAAGTTTCCAAAGGCATATATTCATTTGTAGGTCGCCATCGTCTGCAGGACTTGGGCTAGGCTGACCTTCTCTTCAGTGAGGACTTCGGCCTCCATAACGCCAAGCGCATCCTTGACAAGTTCCGCTCCGAGATCCCATGCTTCAACGATGATATTCAAGGGACGGGGTGTGTGACCTTGGCTGCCTTGATGGCTGCATTGCATGTCAGCAAGGTCAAGATGGAGGATGTGCGGATCGTGGTTTATGGGTCCGGGTCTGCTGGCACAGGCATTGCCGCGCAAATCGCTGACACGATCGAAAATGAGGCGGGCAAGCCAAAGGAAGAAGCTAGGAAGCAGATATGGTAAGCACTGTCCGGCCGACCACGCTGTCTTGTGTTATTATCGCAATGTACTGAATCACGAGCCATATGCAGGTGCCTTGATAAGCCCGGGCTTCTTCTCAAGTCTTTGGGAGATCAACTGACACCAGCCCAAGTGCCATTTGCACGGGACGACGACGAATGGTCTGGAGAAAAGTCCCGAGACTTGCTGGCCGTGGTGAAAAAGGTGCAACCGCACGTTTTGATTGGGACTTCTACCCAGCCTAAAGCTTTCACGGAAAAGATCATTCGCGAGATGGCCAAGCACGTCGAGACCCCGATCGTGTTCCCTCTCAGCAACCCCACACGCCTGCACGAAGCATGTCCCGAGGACATCAATCGTTGGACAGATGGCAAGGCCTTAATGGCTACCGGCAGTCCATTCCCACCTGTTGAACGGGACGGAGGGAAGTACGAGATTGGTAAGGAGACAGCCCACTAATTGACGAATACGATATCCCAAGCTAATGAGTTTGACTATTGACGCGATGCAGCCGAATGCAACAATTCTACTTGCTTCCCCGGCATCGGACTGGGAGCGGTTCTCTCGCGGACCCGCGTTTTGTCAGACAAGATGCTTGTCGCAGCAGTCAAAGCATTGGCTATGCGGTCGCCGGCGCTGCAAGATCCCAAGGAGCCACTTCTCCCCGACGTTCAGGATGTGCGAGAGATTAGCATCGATATTGCCAAGGCGATAATCAAGACCGCAGTGGAGGAAGGGCACGCTGAGGAGACGGGAATTCCTACGGACGATCAGGAATTGGATGAATGGGTTCGGATTCAAATGTGGGAGCCGAAGTACAGACCGCTGGTGCGACCGCACCAACAAGAGTGAATTGATGGGTCTGAATGGGGAGGAGAGAAAGTTGAAATTTTCTCAATACATATACACTACTTGGTGCATAGTAGTACTAAATGGTGACTTTCAAACCACTATCTATGTGACACTACCTTATGCGTAGGTAGGTATAATTATGTATTCGGATCGGATGCCACGGCATAGACATAGACATAGACCATTCCATCCATCCTTATTGGTTTTCAAAGTTGCGTGCGGTACACAAGTCCGCCATCATTGTGGATGACCTCATTTGCAAATTGACACCTCAATTTCTTTGTCTATGCCTTTTTGTGTGTGTGTGTTTTTCTCGCTCTTCCTTTTTCTTAATCCTGCTCAGTATAATAGAATCAGGAACAGCAACCCTCAAATCTAACAAAGAACTCTTCGAGGTCATCAACATAAAGAGAACAAAGCTCTTTGGGTTGGAGACAAGGGAAGTCAGGCTCAACTTCCGTCCTTCCATTAGACTTTCCTGTGCCGAAAATGCCAAGTGAGACATTCAACATCTGTAATCTCTTCGTCATCGAGGATCTTACTCTCTACAGCATTCTCTTTTCAGGTTTCTCATTAGATTCCCCCCGAACAACATCTTGATCACCTTGCAGAACACAGAACTTGGTATCGCATTTTCATAATCATGAAATTTATCTGGTTGACTACCCTGGTGATTCTTCTCCAAGCCTCAGCCACCATATCACTGGCTCTCCCGTCCTCCGCTCCTGGGTCAAGAGATCAGTCTGGCTATACCTCAGAACTTGCAAAGCGTCGCGGTGGGGGAGGAGGGGGAGGTCGTGCAGGGGGCAGCAGTAGTGGGGGAGGCAGTGGTGGCCGCACCGGTAGTAGCGGAGGGAGCAGCAGTGGAAGCAGTGGAGGTAGTGGAAGTGGTTCGAGATCTGGGTGAGTGTTTAATGATGTGAAGACCCTTTCCGTGCGCAGACAAAGCTGAGTGACTCTGTTTTCTGTTCTGTCAGTTCCTCAACCAACGTTGGAGGCTCAACTCGCAGCGGTTCAGGGAGACAACCAGCCTACGGGGGCGGCAAATATTATGCTGGCGGCGCGACCGCTCCCTATACTTCGGGTTCTCGATCGCGAACGGGCATCACGCCCTATCTGTTGCCTGCGAGTGGTCTGGCGTTCTTCGGGTTCTGGGCATACAACGTATACGCCTATCCATACCCCCATCATTACTATTATGTGAATCAGTCCTCGCACGGCAATGAGTCCATGCCCGTGGTCTGTCTATGCCAACAGTACCTGGAATGTGGCTGTGATGACAACTCCAATTCCACCTACTATGAGTCGCTGTTTAACGGTAGCCAACCAACGAACACAAGCATCACGCGGGTTGCCAATGTGAATGGCACAGACTCGATCTATATCAATGGTACCTTACCCAATGGGACCACCGTCGCCGATTCCTCTGCCTCATCCGCCGCCGCAGCTGGACCAACAAGCCAAGTGAGCCTTGCCATCGGGTACTGGACCATCGTTGCGTTGGTGGTGGGCCAGGTGTGGGCTTTGTGATGAGGGGTTTTGCTTCTGTTTATCCAGTTTCTTGTTATAGATCTACTTCGTAGAATACCCCTTCTCTTGTTTGCAACTACTAAGTACTTTTCTGGGTACGTACAAACTTTTTTTTTTTTATTATTCCCCCCCCCCCCCCCCTTTTCTTTTTTTGTCACTTGATCCAGTCTTCGAGCCTAGACTTCACCGCTCGAGTGCTTGCTGCAGGGCTTGACCGACTCCACTGCGGCCCGACCAAATTAAGGCCCATGGCAAACTTCACTTGATCAATCTCATTCGCTATTCTCCAACCAATGTTTCATCACTCTCGGCCGTCATTGTCTCAGGTTGAGGGTCTACAGACACCAATCTTCTCAACACAGGAAAATGAAGCCCTTCAGCCTTCCCAGACCTACATGTTTCTTGCTAGTCGACCACTGCTCGCTGCTATTTCCTTCCCCCATCTGATAATGCCGGGCTTTGAAACCTCTACTACATACTTACGGTAGCGTGGACGGCATCGTAGATGGCAGTTGTTGTAATGTGGATACAACTTGGGGTCGAAATCCTGAATTGATCGATGCTGGGGCCTAATTAGTTGTCTAGGATCCTTCCTGTCTGCCCCCAGCCCTAGAAATATGCATACTATTGCGTGGACTCTTACAATATGACTGAACAAATCTGGACCCAGACGGCATTTGATCAAAGAAAGCCAAGCAGTGAGTGGGCACGTCAGCCATCCCATCTTCTTCCCCCCCCCCCCTTTTCCTTCTTATTCTGACACTCCTGCCCTGCTTCTTCTTTCTTGTTTGTTTTCTTCTGCAGCTTTTATGGATCGCGATAGTTACAGCAGTGCTGTCATTCATTCCCTGCGTTGATTGATTTTAGAATTCCTTCACTTTGTCTCCGTACACAAGAGCAGTCCCTCGTTTGCAGCTCCATCCATTCTTTTCGCCGTGTCTCTATTTCTTCCGCTTGAATTGTGATACTATTGCACAAACTATACGGATATACATTCCAGAGTACCTTCAAAGCACACTGCATTGGCTCGTCAAGATATTCTACTGTTCCAGACTTCACGCCATTGGGAAACTGTTGGCTTGACTCAGCTGGTCTCATTCCCCGGTCACTTCCAGTCCTCAGGATAAATTGAGCGCAAGAGAGAAACACACCTCGATCGAATATGTATATCTCGAACGCTCTGCTGATTGCCTGCGCGGCCTACGCACCATTTGCTACCGCAGCGGTGCAGGCCATACCTGCCGCCGCTGCCATCACAACGAGCGCTGCCTATCCCGAATTTTCCTCTACGACGCCCACGCTGGCTTCCACCTCGACTACTTCGTCCCCACTTATTTTAAGCAGCAGCAACATCGACGCGACTGCCACTACCGCCAGCTCGGAGGTTCACTCCGCAAGTTTGTCGAATCTCTCTAGCCACACGCCAACTTTTAGCCGTCACTTCGCCAGCTCTGCTATCGCCAGCTCCGTGCGTGCTAGCTCTTCTGTGGCCGCCAGCCCTTCCTTCACTAGGTCCTATATCACCAAGACCACCACCCTTCCCACTCAAGGTGCTTCCGCCGACACAAAATCTGAATCCGGATCCTCTACTTCCGCCGGCGCAGCCGAGGCGACTGAGACCAGCGCTGCGGTCCCATCCACCAAATTATCGAGCGGCCTTGCCGCTGGTGTTCTGGCTGCCGTTGGTCTGATCATGCTTTGAGCTCGTTTGGCGCAACTGTCTTCCTTGGATGTCCGAGCTCAGTGTCTCGTCCTCTGCTTGAACATAAATGGCCTCTCATTCCCTCTGACAGGGGGTACTAGCTACGGTGGCGATGACAGGAGGCCGTGCGGCTGTTCTGTCTACCAGTTCTGATTTCCACCGCGCTATTGTAGAGCTCATACTTGTGATGGAAAGCAACAAGCAATTCAATATTCGAGGTTTGATGTATCAGCCCAGTGTTGGCAGAAAATTTACTGTAATATTCCCGAGCAAGAGCTTAGCCTTGACCAGCTTTTTGCCTAGCTTTTCACTTCTTCTTGCGGTTTCAGTGATGCGGTCCAGGTTGCATCAAGTAAGTTGCCACGACGGGAAAGAATATATGTACTGTTGACAACGCAGATATAATGAAAGCTAAGATTAGGCTCGTCGAGCTTTCATGGAAATATGCACGAAGGCATAGACAGCATTAACATAGTGTACAGTTGCAGTAATGTTGTTGCGAACAAGTGCATCAGGCACGGGGAGAACAGCTTCTAGTTGCGGAATGTTGCCTCGTATCTTCAAGATTTAGTTAGCACAGAAAGACAGAAGGGAAGTGAATGCACTGCGTACCTTTTTCCTCTGAAAGCCCAGACACCCCAGTTGCCACACGAAACATCATGAGGGTCCAAGTCATTGAGATCCCAGCGTAAGCTGCGGAAAATATTCTCACCGGGCTCAAGCAGAATATCGAATTCGCCGGCGCATTTCTCATGCACCCACTTGATATCCCGTTCCATATCCCACTGCGTGTAGCCTGTGCTGATGATCGGCACCTTGGTCTCCAGTAGTTGCGGGAGGGTTTCTTCCCACTCGTGAGAGCTTGCCGGGTGTCCGAGTCCGGGATGAAACAGCATGATGCAGTCTAAGTATGGATCGAAAGGTTGGAAGTAGTTGGCTTTGTACATTGTGTGGAAGTAGTCAACGTAGGTCGTGATTTTGAATTGACCTCCAAGTCGGTCTTCGACGACACCCCCGAATGGGTTGCCAGGTGTCCGCTCAGGCAGCGGGAACTCGGCGTCGCGGTTCGTCATACTCTCCGGTCCGATGAAAATGAGATGAATGAGAGAGCGTGGGAAGATGTAGCTGAGCTGCAACCAAACCTCTCGCGGCAAGGAAGACTCAGCCCGGGCCCCTAGGATGAAAATGCGGACCGGGGGTGCCTTCAGGCGTAATCCTCGAATATCGACACCCTCTCCTGTCTTTTGAGGGTGTAAAGTGTATCGCAACGCTGCGACTCCCAGTTAGGCAAACATCTCATAGAGCATGTGAGGGAAAGAGACGAGATGAAGAAATCGCCGTGATGACTTACCACTAACACTTTTAAGCCCCTCCACTGTAAGCCTCCCCCCCTTTCGGACATTGTAGGGACTCAGTTCATGCAAAACACTCGCAAGTGTAAGCGGATAGGTTAGCATCCGGGTCACTTGCCGCATGCTCCGGTCATCGTTGATCGCCTCAAACTCTCGTGTATAAAGAAAAGTGTCCCAGTTCGTCATGTTGATGACGAAATTATCATCTTGAAGGCCTGGGTAGGTGAACTCCGGGAAAACCCGCCCAGAATGCAAGTCATGATCGTCCTCATTGATCTGTCGGATGGTCTCGCAGACCTCCAAGTGTGCTTCAAAGTCATCCATCCAATGTCCCTCCGAGCAATAGATCGGCACGCCGCAGTCTGGACATTCAAAGTGAGAGTGTGCCGGCGGCAGATTCGAGCTCTGTGGGCTCTTGCGCGTCTCTGGGTCGTGAGGGGAGACAGGCAGTCGGGTCTGCTGGTGGCTTGGATGTGGGCAGAAGGCGTTTTGTTTGATGAAAGCCGCACGCTGTCG